GAATAAGGTCACATTCTGAGGTTAGGACTGCCACACAGAAAATTTGGGAAAACACAATTCAACCCATTGAAGACCTTTATAATTAATTTAATTATATGGCATTTTATAATATAGAAAATAAATTACATACGTCAAAAATATTTGCTTCATGTGGTTATAAACTACATAGCATGTCTAAAAAATAAAAGAAAGTGACTGCATTTATAAAAGAACAATTTGGGCCCCGCAATCAAACATTAGTCATATGTATTTGTAGAATTATAGAGCACGTGCTATGTATACACAATAGTCTATGATTCATAAGCAAACTATAATAACACTCTTTCTTTGAAATAAAGAAGTTAATTAGTATCACTCTCTAAATTGGAATTTGTCTTTGAGCAGTTGTCCAGCCTTTGCTGGAGTCTGTGACAAGCACCCTTTTGGGTTAGAAGTTTGGCATTAATTACCTAAAACAACACCAGAGGACACATTTTCTGCAGAAGGAGCTCTATGTGCTAATGAAGCTCGGAGTTCACTGGGAATTGCTTTTAATGTTTCTCCTGCTTTCTCACTAATGAGATCTAAATTATAGGAATGATAGATGTTTTTCCCCTGACCCATTATTTAAAAGCCAGATCACATTTTAATTTCACATCAAATTGCCCATAAAATATTAAATAAGGTAAATGTAACACAATTATCTAACTTAGGAAATGTGCTAATTTTCTTTAATATATATACTCTCAACTGGGTCTTGTGAAGAATCTCTGCAAAATCCATCTTTTTCTATCTCTGAAATGGTGCTGTGTTTGTATGGCTAAGAAGAGGGCACTGCAATTCAATAATTGTGGTCTCTTGGTGTGATAAGAAATAAACAAAAACCTACGTCCATACATCGATCTCATCATTCTTGTGGTTTTCCTAATTTTTTCCCCTGTGGACAAAAATAATGCTAATGCTCACCTTCAGGAAAAGGTTACTCTGCCACTTCTCTGGCCTTTAGTGATGAAGCCTGTGATGTGGAGTCCATATAATGGTCTCATTTCCTGGTATCTCTTGTCTTTTTCATGCTCCTCTTGCCAATACCCCATGTTTTGTTTGTTTTCCCCAAAGTGAGTGGATGCACGTTCTGCCTGATGTGCTCATTATTGCCAGCTAGGCCTCCTTCGACTGACAGCTGAGATGTAGCAAGCTGGCTTGGATTCATATGCTTCAGTAGCCATTGTACCACTGGCCCTAGCCTGACAGGTGGAGCAAACGGGGTAGTACTGTGATCTGACTACCTGGAACCACAAATTTAGGTTTACTCGGATAAAATTGGTTTTGATTTGCAGTTGAAGAAGGTTCCAGAAATGTCAGCCATGCATTTCTTTCCTGTGGTCATTAGCTACATTGTAATATTTCTAGGGAGAATTTTATTTAAGTCCAATCTTGTTGGATCAGAGTGGCAATTGTCAAAACCCAGGTTAAATAGTTTTTTTTTCTACAAAAGTACATTCCTAATGGATATAACTATCTTACCTAATAATAGACAAACATGTAAATTGACCATTCCTTCGCTTCGTTCACCAGCCAATCAGGAGAGTATGCAAATTAACCCAACAAAGATGGCAGTTAATTTGCATACGTAGGTGTGAAGTGGCGGAGCGAAGACTGAAGGCTCTGGCCGGAGCAGCGAAGGCCTAGGTCCTGGGTGCCAGAGGAAAACCGGTGCTGGCATCCAGGGGAAGGGAAGGCCTATTGCACGAATCTCTTCATGCAATGGGCCTCTAGTATTAAATATTTGTCATGACTCAGCAGTTGATTTGACTTTTTTTTAGAAGAAATGACGCATTAAACACATGGGCATATTTTCTCAAAACTACTCTTTCCTAACAGACAGTTCCCTTTCCTCACTCTAAGAATCAGTTGCATTTTTGAAACTGTTTTGGGAGGAAGGTAAGGACTTAAATTTAGATATACATGTGTGTTGAGTTGAGCAAGTCCACATCCTCTCATTTCCATATTTTGTACTTCTACTAAAAGGTATTGAGATCTATATACCAAATATGTAAGCTTCTCTTACATATTTATTGGGATCTGCTGAGCTGGTAACGTACATACTCTGGCTAATTTCTAAGGGAAAATAATCCACAGAGTTTTAGACCTCACTCCAGAGCCATTTTATGAGTACTTTTGGGGTAGAGCCTGGTAATAGCAGTTTTTATAAAAGCACCAGGTTTGGGAGCTTCTGTCCTGGGCTGGCTGAGTGTCAATACCCATTTGGTACCATGAACTCCCTTTGACTTTTCCAAATAATCTATAGTGAAGTTGACAGAAAGCTCTGATAAAAACTCAATAGTAAGTTACTCATAAAATAATCTGCTGGAAGTTTTACAGTGTAATTGACAATATAAGCTATATATTTTGTTCCATTTTTATATCTTTGAAGTTTGGTATGTCTTGCATTAAAACTACCTTTATACAAAATTTTTATTCCCTAAATTCCATACTTCAACAAGTTTCTTTTCACCTTTTGAAAAATTCCTGATTTAAAAAATTGTTCAAAGTATAATGGACACCAAAAGAAAATTAAAACTAAGATGGAATGTGTAAAACTTAACTTTTGATGGCATCAAATTATTCTCTTTTGAATGGATAAGTAAGAGTTTAATTACTATTTAGAAAGCAAATCATGCATCTTATTACTTTCAGTTTATCATATACTAGAAATATATCACCTACTGTTAGAGCCAACAAACTGCACTTTAGCTGTCTGATTAAGCAGCCTCCATTGATTTGTGTGTTTTTAACAAGCCCAGTATTTTGTCTAAATGTCTCATATAATGGTTTAGTAAATTTACTTTATATCTTTCTCTATCCTTCAATACAGTGCTTGTTTTTAGAATTTATCTTTAGTTATCTATCTCCTAGGTCTGGAACATCTTGCTTAAAAAATCAGGAGTTGTTTTATATTTGTTTCTTAAATAAGACTCTGACTTTTGGCATTTCTAGGGGAAGAATTAATTATGTTCTAAAAAAGCTGGAAATAATCTGATACAGAAACTGGTGTTTATATGTGTGGTGAGAATGTGTGAGTGTGTATTTCAAGGGCTTATTTCCATTAGAAAATGGATGTGGGAAATATGTATGTTAAAGTACCAAGTTTGGATCTGTTTACCTTTGACTTATTCTGAATTTCCCAAGGTTCACAGTTAGTTTAAATATACTTGTAGAGCATGGCTGAATGAAATGATAGGATAATACCTTTCTAAGCAACACAACATGATTCTATGCACTGACTCTGGTTTGGGATTCTGATTTCTTATTTTAGTGGGCGCAAATGTCCCTATTTACCTGTTGTAAATCTCTATGAATTATTTTTTGGTCTTTATGTAAATCTTGCACGCTAGCCATTTTATTTGGAATTTATTTACTAGCTAAATACTAAGTAATACCCACTCTAATGACAAAATATTCAAGTGAACTCGGGGTAACGTTTGGAATTCAGCTCCCCTATCATGAATCTATGTTTTAATATTTTACCAGTGCACTTCAAGATTTTGCCAACAAAAATCCATTGTTGTTCAAAGGCTGTAATTCTTGGTTATATAACTGAAGTGTCCACGCCCCTCTTTTTCAGTTTAGGGTACTTTAGTATCCTAGGTTAAACCCCAAAGTGTAAGTATGGCAGCCTAGCACTGCTAGCTACTAGGCATCCAGCAGGTTATTGGAGGAGGAATTTTTAAAGGATAATGGAAGGGAGAATGGAACATATAGATAGAGGTAGATTTCTATTCTCACTCATCAGCCAGAGGGAAGGGACAGTGACCCAGGGGTTATGAAGTTTCCATTCCTGCAAAGACTAACAATTGAGAGAGCAATGTGTCCTGGTCAGGCACAGCTCTGGGGCATGCTAAAAGGGCGTCTGTTGATGCTCTTTCTCTCAGCCCATTGGGCCCCATGGAATCTCTGAGAATTCTTTACAGTCAGGATTTAAAGTGGAAAAGCCTTTGGGTCCTATTCCCCTCTTCATAGTACCATTAAGTCTTTCCTGGGTTTCTCACTTTTTCTCTTTTTAAAATTGTATCCCCTTTATTTTTCCACAATAATCCATAAGGAAATTCCTAATAACCCATTAGATTTAGAACCCAAGCAACAATAAAAAATTGGTTTATTCTCTCCTGGAGGGTAAGTAGGATGCAAGATTTAAAAAGACAATGCTGGATCTTGGAGGATATTTCATTGAGGATGGAATGAGAATAGCCACATTTGAGATTAGTCAGTTGGCTTGTTACCTTAACATCTACAATGACAACAACAGCTAAAAGGCAAAAAACAAGCTAGATTTCATAAAAAATAGAGGATGAATATTCTTCTCTCTGCAGAATTTAAATGAGGGATACACAGAGCAATGAAAAATTATCTGAATAACCATTGCAATACGAAAGAAATTACTAAAATAAGTACTAGTAAATTACAATAGCTAGACATAAAGTCCACTTACATTTATTGTGCATTCACTAGTGTTGTCGTTAACATCTATCTGCCTTTATTATCATTACTTAGTATACTAAAAAAAAAAAGAACAAGTAAAAGGAGAGAAAAAGAGATAATCATTTCTACCCAATGGTACTTCTAGAAGATTCCTTTTTATCTCAGAAAATAGAGTGCAGATTTTCTTGATTTGTCCTCAGTGAGCCACCAACAATAAAACTGGAAGAGAGACAAATTACCTCTAAACACCCACAACCCGTTCTGGGTGGAGTATAAATGGTTAATCGTGACTCCCTTTAAACACAAATTTTTATCTGACTCTTGGATGTGATTTAAGATACTAATGCGTTATATAGTCTTATTCTGTCTACATGATTGGTCTACACAGAAAAAGTGAAAATAAGAAGGGGGAACCAGATATATTCTTGACCTGTATCCTGAGGTGAATAAAATCGCACTTTAATACTACATGCTTTATGCAGCTTCTCAAATCTCAAACCATAGCCACAATAGTAATAGTTGACTCTGTATGTTCTCATTAGAATTCTACCAAATATCTGGCTGGGTAGCTGCCCTCGCCAAGTGGAACACGTAACCATCAAACTGAAGCATGAATTGGGGATTACAGCTGTAATGAATTTCCAGACTGAATGGGATATTGTACAGAATTCCTCAGGCTGTAATCGCTACCCAGAACCCATGACTCCAGACACTATGATTAAGCTATACAAGGAAGAAGGCTTGGTCTACATCTGGATGCCAACTCCAGATATGAGCACTGAAGGTAAGCATCAGAATCATGTTGGCTCCTTGTGAAATTTGTTTCAGAGAAGCCCTTGCCTGTCTATCTATCATCTATCTATCTATCTATCTATCTATCTATCTATCTATCTATCATCTATCCATCTGCCAGCCTACCTTTCTGTCTATAATTGATTGACCTAAATATGAATAATAGAAATGGAATAAAGAAAAGGGTTTAGGTTTAACATTTAATATGTATTTTTTGATAACTTGGTTGATATTCTGTTTAGCATGGGTCTTTGATTTGTTAATTCATTAAACATGTATTTATTGCATATCTACTGTGTATGTGGTACTGGTGACTGAGAATACAACAGCAAAGAGAGGCAGGACAACTCCTGCCCTCATAGGGCTTATAATCCTATTAAATGACTACAAATAGAAATTAAAACGGATGTGTTTTGTTGTTGTTGTTAGGAAGATACATGGATATAGCTATGAGAGTATGCACAGACAGTCAGACTCAGGAAGGGCAGTCAGGGAAGGATCCGGGGAAGCAGTGTTTGAACTAAGATCTGAAGAGAGGGCTGGGGTCAGCGGTGAGGCTCCCAGGCACAGGGAGCAGCTGTCGAAGAATCCCTGTTGCAGAAGAGCATAGAGGGTTGTAGGAACTGAAAATAGGCTCGTGGGCTGCAGATCAGAGGGTGAGGGAAGTGAGTCTTGCGGGATTTGGGCATAATAAGGACTTGAGACTTTTCCCTAAAGTGGTGAAAGCAGTGCAAAGAACTGGCTGGGAGTTGCCCAAGTAATCATTTTCTTTTCCTCTAGAAGTGCACTTCGATTGCAAAGTAGAGAACGGATTGGGTGGGCCCAGAGTGAATCCGGGACACCAGTTAGGCGGTAACTGCAACATTAAAGTGAGAGAGAATGAGAAGGATAAAGTTCAGGGAAGGCTTGTGATCATGAGGCTGCATTTATTGCGCAAGTACTGGCTGAGCCTGTCTTTGTGAAGAGACAATTATGATGTGACATGGGTGCTGCTGGGGAAACAGACATAGTTTTTATGTAATGGTAAGGAGCAAGAAGACATGTTCAGGACTACAGTATAGAAGGAATGTGATGAGAGGCATGAGTGATGTGCTCCAGGAGAGTTATGGTGTGAAGAACAGGCAGGCAGGTGACATGAGTGACTTGTCATTTCAGGTGGCAGAAAGCATAGGCCAAAGTACAGAGGTGTGGGATTTTAGAGGAATGGTCTATATTTCAGCCTGGTGGGAGAAGAGGGTTCTTGTAGAAAAGGAATGGAGCTATTTGAAGCCAAGAGAACCGAGTTACACTAGTAACATGAACTAGATGTCAGCAGGGGGCAGCAGAGGGCTGTGAAAATGGCACAGGCTAAGGGAGTTTGGTCAACACTATTCTGGGGAAAGAAGAAAGATCCTGATGCCTAGGGAGGAAACGTTTCTATTATCAGTCCTCTTCCCCCCAAAGTCCATATGTATCAAACACTCTTCTAAGCAATTGCTTGCATTAACTCATTTAATTCTCATAACCAGAGTTGGGACAATTAGTTATCTCCATTTTGCAGAGGAGAAAACTGAGGTACAAAAAACTTAAGTAACCCGGCCCAGGTAAAGAACAGAGACACAGCTGGATTTCAGAACGGTCTGACTCAGAACATTGCTCCAGACACCATACATGCCCACATGAACTCTTCGCACACATTCTGCAGACCGCCACACTTTCAATCTGTCATTTGCATCTTTAGGTGGAATTAGGCAGAGTCATGGGTTGCCAGGGAAGTAGCTAATGATGTGGGTGGGGACAGAAGACCTTGAGAATCGGGTTTCCTGGCATGTGGCCACATTGGCTCCTTATGAATCTCAGGTGGTCCTGCTGGCTGAGCTGGATCCCTTTGTGGGTCTGTGTGTGAACTGAGCTATCTCTGAGGATGAGGTATAATTTTTGTTCCTTAAGGACGGGATAGTTTGGTTACTGCTCTTGGTAACGCTGATCCAAAGAAGCTTAAGTTAGCCACATAAGCTTTGTCTTTTTTCCAAGGGAGGAAAAAACCCCTCATTTGCACAGAAGAGCACTGGTTGAATCTAGGTCATATTTGTCCTGTCCAGCTTGTTTCTCCGGTTTCAAAACAGAAGAAATTGTTAGAGTGCCAATAGCTTCCAGAGAGCATTTGGATTTTCGCTTCTTTGATTCTGGTTTTATAGCATTGTTATCCCATTGGGATATTATGTGTGATGAGGCTCAGAGAAGTTGAAATAAGTTTCAACTTAGTCCCAAGTCCTTACGTTTGTACCAAAGGATGTTCTAGATAATACGAACCTTATCTATATTACATTGCAAAGGTGGAAAAGAAGGTAAACTAGACGATATACACGCATCCCATTGGCTCTTTATGAAGCCATCCCATGCTCTGATTACCTGAAGTCCCTGCTGACTGATTGGGGATTTGCATGCTCTTCCCTAAGATCCACCATAGTTGTATTTAAACCTTTTGGGGGTCTGCCTTTGTGAAGAGAGAATTGTGATGTGACACGGGTGCTGCTGGGAAACAGGGACAGATAAGATCATCCCCCTGTGACTGGGGGTCCCAGTCACAGCCGTGGAGCACCTTCCACACAGACTACACGAAGTGACAGCAAATGAAAGCTCCCCCTTGAAAAAGGCTAAACCCCAAGGCTACATAGAGTTCTTTTTTTTTTTTTTGGTTCAGCATAACCTGGGGAATCATGGAAGGGTTAATGACCATTTTGGAGTCCCTGAGGAATTTTTGACCAAAAGTTCCATGTCCGTGGCTCAAAGTATTAGCACAGTAAACATATAGATTAATTCTGCTGAATATTTCTAGAACTTCAGAGAAAAATCCATCTGAAAACGTTTTGAGCCACATACTGGTCATGCTGTCAGCGAACGCCTGAGAAAGAAGACAGTTTGTTAGGACCGACCTGTTCCAATCAATTGTGCCATCGATCCTTATCTTGTACATTTTGTCATATACAAATGGATTGGTTAGGTTTTCTCTCTCTCTCTTTTTTTTTAATAATTTGATTTGTGTTTTTCACCTAAAAAAACAGAAAGCTCCCAAATCTAGCGTCCACCAAGAAAAAACAAGTGTGCTCATAAGATTCAGTTTTCCTTCACAGGAAAACTGCTTGTGTTCTGCCCTCTGTCAGGGCAGTGCTTGGATAACAAATGGTCTGCCTGGACTCCCACACGAGTTAGTGTGCTGCCGAGTCCTCAGCTACCCGTTGTCACAGTCTGAGTTCTGGCCTCTGACTCAACACATGGCATTCAGCTCTGCCATGAGGCAACGACCCTGGCCTTGGAGCCACAGGCCCTGGCTCGAGCCTCGTCACCCAGCATGGCTGTGTGATATGGGGCAGACTAGTTCCTGCATTTGGAAAGTGGGGATGATAATTTCTACTTTACAGGATTATAACAGTAGAATAAGATGATGGGGATGAATGTGCTTTGAAAAGTCACCAAGTTGGGGTGTATTAGTCCCAAGTCCTTAAGTTTGTACCAAAGGATGTTATAGACAATATGATTCTTATCTATATTACATTGCAAAGGTGGAAAAGAAAATATAGTAAAATAATAACAATAATATATTCAGCCATCAGTCTGCCCCTGTATTGAGAAAGGAAAGATTGTGTGTGTGTGCATGTGTTGGAAAGGCTGAAAGTTTGTGCCAGGAGTGATTCTTTCAGGGCCAGCCTTAGGTAAACCTTGGATATCATTAGGGCCCCCCACTTATTTCAGGCCCTAATGCCTCAGTCTTCCCCAACATACCCTTGTCCCCCTTCTCACCACCTTTGCTTGTCATTGCATGATTTCGGGAAGCTTTTGGTCATTTCAGAGTTGGATTAGCCTGGAAGAGGTGCGGCCCGAAGTTAGATTAGAGTGTCAGATCAAGTTGGTGTTACTGGGTTTTGTTTTATTTTGTTTTAATTCATGTACTTACCTAAGACCTTTTGAACATCTACTGAGAGCCAAGGCCTACTGTGAGTTCCAAAAGAATGTTTCACCTTAGTTGCCAACATTTAAAATGTTGACTATTTTACATTTTAAAAATCTGCATTTCTGTCTTGCCTTTAGGTATAATTGTTTTGGGGAATGAAAACTTTTTACCAAATTAAATTCTACATGGAGCCAAAATACACAAAACATAAAGATCAGGGCTCTGGTTGACATTGGGTTTGTTACGTGAGCTTTTATTCCTCGTTGGGTTACATTTTAGCTAAGGCTCCCTAGAATGGTCTTCAAGAAGAGCAATGTGGGTGCATTGGGCAGAGCTGGCCCCTATAGGGTTGGTAGCAGAGGTACTCAACCCCTGGCCAGACGTGGCTCTCACACAGGGGTGTAGGCAGAGCATGACCAGGCGGGTGGGGTGCAGGGACAGACTGGGCATTTGATAGATTGACAGCATGGGGGCCAGCAGGAGCTGTTAGATGGCAGCTCTTCCTACCTTTCTCCCGCCATGTGCTGTTCTAAGTACTGAGCAGGCAGTAGCTCCTTTACACCACCTCTTAGCAACAATGAGCTTGGGACTGTTATTATCCTGTTATATCTGAAAAAACTGAGGCACAAAGGTTTAAAAAGATCATTCCGTCATGGCCACTCAAACCCAGCCAGCCAGATGCCAAAGCCTCTGGTCTTAAGCTACTGTCCTTCCCTCATCTGCCTCTGGGAGAGTGCCGTAAACAACTGACTGCATGGCAGGCCCACCCAGGTGTAACCTCAGAGCAGAGCACAGAGCTGTACATCAATCAAAGCTATGGCTCAGTTTGGACTCAGAGAAATCCCAAGACATGTAGGAGCTGGCGTGCCTCCAATTTAGATGCCCTCAGGGACCAGGTAGCCAGCACGAAAAGAGACGGCCCCTCCCCCCCCCAGAATTGCAGAGTATACCCTGCCTAAAGGAATTCCAGTTAAAACATCTCCAAACTGCTCTTTAGATCCCCATAGTAAGAGGGGTTAGAAGAGCACCAGCAGCAAAATTAGATATTGTCCTGGTTTCATGTATATTTTCTGCTCCTGTCTCCCAGCTGGAAGCTAAGGTAGGCCCCCTGGATAGAGTGGTAACTGAGGGGGCCTTCAGGCCATGACCAGGTCTTTGGTAATATCTGCCCTTCTCAGGTGCTGATGCCTGACTACAGTGTGTTGTGTGGGACTTTCAAGACTTGCATTATAAGGGTGTAGCTAAGGAGGGAAGTCTGAGTGACTCTCCTGGGAGACTTCTGGGCCCCGGTGAAATCTGCAGGAAAATCATTTCCCACCTCTCTGGTCCTCCTGTGGGCTGGCAGTGTGAGACTGTGGCTCTCAGAGGACACCACACGTTGTGTCTCTGTGGTTGAGGACAGAGAGTAACTGGAGAGGTCAAATCATAGATAGGAAGTTGTATTTCCATGGACTCTGTATTTCCCTCTTTCATCCATTTTTGAAGTAATTTCCACTGACCTTCTTCCCCCAAATTCACGAAATATCTTTCACTGAGAACCTGTAAGCAGAAGAAACTGCAGCATCCAGGAATGTGGTCATTTTAGGGGGATCTCTTAGAACAGGCCTCTGCAGAGCATACATATCCTCTCTCCATGGCAAAGAAGACATCTAAATCATCTTGTAATCGAAAAGGTAGTCACGAAGCTGCAATAACTATAATCATAATTGCCCAGGAAAGGAAAAACTGAATTAGTTTTAATGCACACTGCACCATGAGAGAATAAATGAACAATTTATCCAATATCCCACGTGTATCAATTAATAAGTTAGTCATTTCATTGGACAAATGGAAACTAGCACATGTTGAATGAGTAAGGTTGACTTCTTTAATCGGGATGGACTAATTCTGTTTTACATTTACCTGGAAGATCCTTTTGGATGAAAGGAAATTGAGGTGACAGGACCTGTCAGGTCCTCTTTGAAATCCTCTAAACCTCTGCTGGATCTATGCTAACAGAAGACGTAAAAACCGCTCTTCTGACCACAGGCAACGGTAAACCTTTCTTTAGGGGAAATAGGTGCGGACGCAGAAGTCTCTCAAAGGAGCAGCCAAATCAAGTGACAGAGCTGCCCATTGCCTCTGCAGGGCCCCTCCACTCCATTATTAGCAGGATTTGATAGTGTCTCACCTTTTCCTTCAAAGAAAGGAATGAAGCAGGCTGTGTTATCCCTGCCTCATCGGGCAGGGCACTGTGCCTTCACGGGGTGCTGGAGGAGTTATTGACGGCGCTGTTGGGGTTTCATTATTTACATGTCTGTGCTGTGCTTTCTCCACCCCAGGCCGGGTACAGATGCTGCCCCAGGCGGTCTGTCTCCTGCACGCGCTGCTGGAGAATGGACACACCGTGTATGTTCACTGCAACGCGGGGGTCGGCCGGTCCACGGCGGCCGTGTGCGGCTGGCTCCACTACGTGTTGGGCTGGAAGCTGAGGAAGGTGCAGTACTTCCTCGTGGCCAAAAGGCCAGCGGTCTACATTGATGAAGACGCATTGGCCCGGGCACAAGAAGATTTTTTTCAGAAATTTGGGAAGGTGCGTTCTTCCATATGCAGTGTGTAGGTGGCCCATCTCCCCCCACTCCTGATTGCCTTTGGAAGCTGGGGTGACAGTAGTACAATGATCTAGGAACAAAGATTCCACCTGAAGAGACAGATCGCTGGCTTCTCCCCCAACCTGCCTCCTTTAGTCTGGGGCTGACTTTCTGTTACGCTTTGGTTGAGCTGTATCGCCTTTGAAATATTTTACAAAGGAAGCTGTGACTGACACATGAGAAAAGCTACAAGCGGCTGGGCTGTGCAGTGTTATTCTAGCGTCAGATAGAAAGGGAAGGCGTGCAGTTCCTGCTGCCGGCAAGCGGACCAGCCCTTTGCGTGATAGACACTGCATCTGTTGTATTATGAAGTCATGACGACACTTGCTGCCTTGTAACGTGGCATTCAGACGAAAGATAGGATGTTATGTAGATTTCATCACTTGTATGTGTATGTGCGCGCACACACACACACACACACACACACTTTCATACTGAGATTATAAAATGAGAGCTGGTGAATTGCCAAAGATGGATATAATGGTAGAAGTCTGGACTGTGACAAAGTAAGAGCTCAATGTGACCAAAATTGATGGCTTTCTAGACGTTGTTTTGCATCCTGCTTCAAAGTCTGTTCTGTTCCAGGGCATCACCTTCCTTATCTACCCACAACCCTGGGTAATACTCAAAGTAGAGTTATAATGTCTCTATTTGATCGAGGCTCAATGAACATAGATAGCTTGCCCAAGGTTTTCTGGCTATTCAGGGATGAACTGGAGTGTATTTGACTCAGTGCTTTTTCAACACAACTTGTTTTGCCAGCAAACTGTAGTGAATTCAGCTTCTCTATCTCAGAGTAAGGTTGATTTTCTGCAGCAGTTTCTTCCGTGAGAAATGGAACAGCATTCTGATCAGTTGCCAAAGAATTTAGGAGAGTATATTTTGAACAACCTATTTTAAAACATGGTGGGCTGTCTCAAGGCCAAAGTGGCCTGAGCTGTAGCTCACAAGAGGAACTATACAGGGTGGGGCAAACCTAGTACATGAAACAGTTTATTCTTATGTTATTATTTATTAATTATTGTATTATTTTCCATATGAACAACTATAAGCCTACTTTTGCCCACCCTGTATTATCAGAAAAGCCCAAAGAGCCCAAATCCATATATCATTGTCCCCCAGCTTGGGAACGATCCTGGTCCACACTCAGTTGAATACAGTACGCAGTTACTGCACCTCCAGAATTTGCAACTCACTACCTTACCCTAGACTCTACAGGAAACACAAAGATGAACAAGACTTTGCCTTCCAAAGCTCATAGCCTGGGAGCAGCCCTGTGTCCAATCAACTATGATGCAGGATTGAACTGTGAATGCCATGCTAGAACGGGGAGAGGGGATGTAACTTTTGTTGGGTGCCTCTTATGTGCTAGCTGTTTAACCATCTTATCACTTTTTATCTTCCTAGTACCCTATGAGTGAGGCTTTGTTATCTCCATTATGGAGACCAGGAAACTAAGGCCCTGAGAGGCTAAATCAACTGTGTAGGATACGTGGTGATTAAATAGATGAAATGAGATACAAAGCTAGGTTTGTCTGACTCAAAGCCCATACTTTTCCTATTAAACTCTGATGCTTACTTACTTTTCCGCTCCTCTTTCCTTTCATAAATATTTATTGACAGACACGAGAGAGTCTGATTTAGGAAGTATGGGGTGTAAGAAGGATATAAGGTGAGCTCCAGTGGAGTTCAGAGGAGAGTAAGATGTCTTATGACTATTGGACTCAGGGGAGGTGGCATTTGATTTGGGCAGAGAAGGCTAGACAAGACACATTTCTCCCTCAATTTTATAGTTGGATTTATAAACCCAAGATTGAGTAATATGAAGTCCAGCTCCCTTATTAAAAGGAACTAGAGATAGCTATTGTATTAAGTAACCCCTTTATACTAATAATGTGTTGTATGAAATTTAACCTTAAAAATGAAATATTTCTAACTAATTATGTATGTATGTGTTAGAGTGTTTGTGTGTGTGTGTGCGCGCACGCGTGTGTGTGTGTGTGTGTGTGTGTGTGAGAGAGAGAGAGAGAGAGAGAGAGAGAGAGAGAGAGAGAGAGATAGATATGCCTAAGAAGTCAAGTGATGTAATTTCCATTACAGAAAAACCTTTTTGGGTGGATTTTTTTGCTCTGATAGGCAAAATTATTTTAGGGCTATTGAATAATATTTTGGAATAACCTCTCTCTTGTCTTCAATGGATAGATGTCTAATGTATTTCAAAATAACCTGGAACTTTTGCTAAATAAAAGCATTAAAAATGACCTCTGTGTGCAGGATTTTTTGTAAAAATGTTATTAATTTTGTCTGCAATCCAGAAGAACAAACTATGTTTTCTTATTTGTAATCTAGTTTATTCCTTTATTTTTCAAAGGAACAAACCAAGACCCAGAGACATCACATGACTCTTGTACAGCAAGGAGTTTCAATTAAGGGTCAGAGGAAAGGGATAAACTGGGAAGCTCAGTCAGGAGATTTATTTTGGTGTTGAGGAGTCATTGGAGAATTCATGGGTATAAGAGAAGGCAGTGTAGTTAGTGGGAAAGAATTGGTGGGAGGATTAATGAAATCAGAGTAAGTGGAAGAAACATGGCTAAAATGAAAAAAAGCAAAGAAAAATGAAATTTTCAAAAGAAGAAGAAACAGGCATTTTCTTTTATAAAGATACTATAAGAAAGAAGGTGTGACTGTAGACACAGAGGGGTAGAGAGAGTCAAGGTTATGTTCCCAGAACAGAAGGTTGTACTAAATACTCACTGCAGTAGAAAAGGACAGCTCGATGTAATGAGCTGACTGAATAGGAGGGTGTGCTGTGCATTGATTTATTATCTGCTAGGAAAAAAGAAAGAAAGCTGAGAGGAGATGGAACTAAGAAGAAAGAGGAAAGGACTGATGAAGCTACCTCTCATTAAAACAATCATAATGGCAAGATAAGAAGGCAGAGAGGTGGAACAACCATAACAATACTTCATTCTTTCCTTCCCTAACCCATTTCTCCCAAAGTCTTCCCCAGTTCAGGTAATGGACACGTACTTCCATACTTCTGGTTGTTCAGTTTCCAAATCTCAGCTTCCAAATGTCCATTCTTAACTCCTTCCTTTCAGAATTCACATTTATTCCAACAGGAAAATCTGTTACCTCTCTTGTCAAAATATGTGTAGTCTATATTTTACCTACTCCATAGAACAACCCTGTTAGAGCTTGGTTAGTAATCTCCAGACTGAACTTCAGAAATAGCCTCCTAACTGGTCTCCCTGTTTCTGTCCTTCCGTCTCCCTGCCCCTACCAGGATCCTATCTCCTATTACACACTGGCCAGGGAGAACCTATAAAAATGCATGGATCATGTCACTCCTGTGCCCAATGTCTCCAGTGACATGCCATGTCACTCAGGGTGATAGCCAAAGTCTTTCAAGGACCTGCACAACCTGGTCCTCTGTTAGGTCTCTGACTCATCTCCTACTGCCCTCTGCCTCACTCTGCTCCAGCCACACTGGTCTTCTTGCTCATTGAGAACTGCAGGCAGGCTCCTGCTTCAGGGCGCTGGCGCTTGCTGTTCTCTCTGCTTGGATGGCTCTTTTCCAGGTATACACATGGCTCATCCCATACCTTATTCACGGATGCCATTCTAGACCACCTACCAAGAATTGCCATTCCCAACCTCAGCCCTTCCTTTTTTCATTTTTTGCTTTATTTCTCTTTATGGAACTTATTACTGGCCAGTATATTGCATCATTTGCTTATTTGTTTTATTGTCTGCATTCTCTCACTACACTGTGAACTTCATAAAGGTACAAGTTTGCATCTGTTTTGTCTGGTGATGTATCTAGAGAGCCTATCGTAGAGTCTGGCATATGTAGTTCAGTGAGTGAAGGTCAAGAATAGCTGATAACTATTGACAGCATACATGTTCCATGGGCTTTTCTCTAAGGGCTTTGCTATATCAACTGATTTAATCTTCCCAACAATACTAGGAGATAGATATTATTATTATCCCTATTTTATAGATAGAACACTAGAGGCATAGAACCGTGAACTTACTTTGAGACAAGTAAGTTTTACTCTTGGTTTGATAGAATAAGCTCCTAATGAACCATCCTATATACACTCTGGGCATACTGCATGTATTAGTTTGCTAGGGCAGCTGTAAGAAAGTACCACAATCTGGCTGCTTAAACAACAGAAATTTATTGTTTCACAGTTTTGGAAGCAAGGTCACAGTATCAACAGGATTGATTCTTCTGAGGGATGGGAGGGAGAATCTGCCCAGGCCTTTCACCTACTTTCCGGTGGTTGGCTGGCAATCTTTGGCATTCCTTGGCTTGTAGATTCTTCCTATGATTTTTTGTGTATGTCCAGATTTCCCTTCCGTATGTTTTGTGGAGCATATAAAAACTGCAGGCCTCACAAAGTCATAAATAAAACTCACAACTAAAAGACTAGGCAAACCTACTGACCTGTTACATTTCAGATGTCTGAATAGTGGAATTCTCTGTTCCAGAGAAAATTGCGGACCTGATAGTCAGTATTGTTATTACATTAGCAGTATTCCCTTTTGAAGGTAACACCAAGTTTTAATTTTTCCCTATTTATAGTATATTGTTTTCTCCAAATATAATACAAATTTAACTCAGTACTTTAAATGAATCATATTTCTGTACACAAAATTTTTGAGTATTTTTAACACATTAAGCTGATTATTTTAATAAATTAAGCTGATGATTAGAAAATGGAGGTGACACCCTTTGGAAGATACTGGATCATTACATATGTAAACCAATTAGATAGAAGAACCTTGCATATATCACTGGCAAGCAGTAATTGGAGTCCTTTAAGGAAAATTTTTTATTTTTTGTATTTAAATAGTTCTGGATATGCATGGCGAAAAACAATTCATATAAGACAATTCTATTTTGCAGGGTGTTTTTAAAGTGTCTATTAGCAAATTCCTAGTTTAAATTGAAGCATTAGTCAATATTATTCCTCTAGGAATTACTTTCACAAAAATATTTGCTGTTAGTACAGAATATATTTTATCCCTTAGTAGTCTCTTTTCTTTTGAATAAAAGAGAACTGTTTTGACCTATGATACATAATTTTTGATTTTTTTTTTTTCCTAGGGGCCCAAGGCCGGAAATTCTTGTAGGGGTAGGCCTTCCCCCCCCCCCCCCCCCCGCTGCCGGCACCGGCCGGAAGGCTGTCAGGTCTAATTAGCATATTATGCTTTTATTGTTATAGATAACTAGAGGATAAAGGGAATAGAGGATAAAGGAAATTTACATTTTAGTCAGGAGTAAGTCTTTCCACAGCTCATAACTGAAATGTTACCAATAAGATATTTTGCAAAAAAAATAAATAAATAAATAGAGGCCGGGTTTAGTAATAGTTCAAGTGAAAACAATCTAGGGTATTTAAATGAGCCAGCCACTTGCTCTTGCTGCTAAAAAGGCTAACAAAAAGAAAAGATGGGGTGATTTATTACACACACACTCTCACACATAAACAAACAGAGAGTGCTCCGGTCTTGAGCCCACAAAGTATAATGCAAAACTTTTGCTCTGAACAATATTCTATTGAAGGATTACATTTATTTCTGTAAACAGGTTTGAAGTAGGATATTGACCTTTGTAGATTAGACAGTTTTCCAAAGAGAATATTTATTTTTCCCCAAAGTATAGATGGAGAAAACAAAACCCAGAGAGCTTTTTGTACTAGTAATTTCATCTTTTGAATAATTGTGCAAGTGCTTACTGTCTTCCAGGTATCGTATGGAACTTTCACTCATTTAGTAATCATAGTGGCTTTGTTGAGTGGATGTAATTATCAAAATATATAGAAGAGAGCATAGGAATATTTGCTTGGATAAAAGAAGACTATGGAAAGAAATAGCACTCTAACTATTTGAAGGACTGACATATAAATAAGACAATTACCTTGCACATGGTTAGAAGTTATAGGGTGGTAGCGTTCATCTTGCTTTAAGAAAGAAATTTACAAATAGAGTTGGAAAATGGTAAAACCGATTTTTTTTTAGATAGTGAGCTTCCTGCCACTAAATGATGTTAAAACAGAAGTTGAATAAACTCCTCCAAAAATGTTTTAAAGAGGATTAATTACTGGATGTAAGATTTGACCTTACAACGTCTAAGGTACCTTCCAAAGTTTTCATAATTAATCATCTATGCTTCTAATTATTGATTCATGTTAACTTTCCATTTCTTCTTTTCCTTTGAACATCAAAATATGCAAATTAGCATTTACCAAGCTAGCCAAAGGACATTGGAGGGGGAACCAAAGTGTTACAGTGCTCAAGGAGAAAACTGAATGATCAGTTGGCTCTTGCCACTTCCAAGTATTGTTGGAAAAGGTAGGGTAAGGAGAATGCACAGCATAAATAAAGAAGTGTAAACCTCCTGTAGCTATTCAGGGGTTTTCACATTGTGTGCCGAAAATTCTGGAATAACTCATCGGGGGCCAAATGAGGTGAGCTGTGGATTGCTCTCCAATGAGAAGAACTTTAAAGGAGAAGGAAGGTCATAGCCTGCAGGAGAGAAGAGGCCATCTTTGCCACAGGAGTCAGCCCCTGAAATCATTTAGAGTTCATGTAACTGTCCTGATTGGGACATTATCTTCTCCATGTACTTTCCATGTAAGATTTTTATTCAGAATTCTCCATGAAGATTTCACTTTAAAACTTGTCTGACAAAAATTTAATCTGATGTCAGTAAAAGAAATTTAAATTTGATCATTCTTGGACCCAGTTCTAGATTATTGGCTAACAGGGCATATTAGATTAGGTATATTGACTGGTGAAGTCCTGATCACTTATTTATTTTTTTAAGTATGTTTTTATTGATTTTTTTTTAGAGAGAGGAAGGGATAAGGATGGAGAGTTGAGAGAAAACATCAATGAGAGAAAACATCGATGGGCTGCCTCCTGCACACCACTCACTGAGGGGTCAAGTCTGTAACCGGGGCATGTACCCTGACTGGGAATGGAAACAGTGACCTCTTGGGGCATGAATTGATGCTCAACCACTGAGCAACACTGGCTGGGCTCACTTATTTATTTTTATTTTAACTTTGACCCAAGCATAGAAGCAGATCAGATTTTTTGATTCAGAGCACTACTAAGGCAAGCATAATAGACATACCAGGATCTTATTAATTACCTAGTCTTCTGCACGAATACCATCCTCTCTTTCCCGTTGGAAGAACTTATTT